TCCCACACTGGCCTGCCTGCCCCAAGGGCTCACCTGGTTAGGTCAGGCCCACCACAGATAGTCTTTCTACTTTAAGGTTAATTGATACAGGGGCTTAATTTTACCTGCAAAGCTCCTTTGCAGCAGCAGCACCCAGACTAGTGTTTGACTGAATGACGAGGAGAAGGTGTGTGCACTGGCAGACAGGGCAGTTTGGGGGCCACTTTGGAATTTGATTTGTTACACCGTAAGTAAACAGTCCGGGGGTAAGTCTGACGTTTGGCCTGGCTGGATCTCAGGGACCCCACTGTTGTCAGGACTTTCTGCCTTTCAGCGTTGCTCCCTTCTGAAGAGCTCCATTCTCATGTGGGCTTCCCTCACAAACAGCTCTTTGAAGGCCATGCTTTGTGGTCGCCCTAGGAAAGGGGACCTTATTTCTCTTAGTTCCGGCCAGGCTAAGGGAGGCTTTGGTTGGCGTGGCTCTGGTTACGTGCTATCCCTAAAACCAGTCATCATGGCACGAGGGTTGCGTATTCCGATTCTCCAGACTGAGGTCCAAATGCCCTTCTTCAGAGCCAAGGCATGAGGTCATCCCAGCCTGAATAAGAGAGTGGAGAAGAGATCGTTTCTGAAAGATGCTGTCTAAGCAGAATGCCAGTATCTGAAATAAAAGGAAAAGAGAATTAAAGGAACTACTATATCAAATATTATAAAAGAAGTCAGTTAGGAAAGAGCCACTGCATTTAGAAGGCAGGAAGCCATTCTGAAAGAAAGAGAAGGAAAATTTATTTTGCAAAAAAGTGGCAGAAGTTAAACTCCAAGAGTTTACAATGCACCTGGTAAAATACCAGCATTGAATTCATACCACACATTAACATGTTTGCTGGTGAACAGGAGGAAGGGGCAGCCATTTGGGAATGTACCAGGGAATGGGAAAGGCCTCTCAGGAATGGCAGTGACTGATACATTTGCAAGAAGTTTCTAGTAAAGGAAAGAGGTTGAAGGAGCGACAGAAGTCCACATTGATCCCAGTAGGAACTGAAGCCAGTAAGTGGAGAACAGATGAAGACCCAAGACTGAGAGCCACCGAAAGTCTTCCCGGATTATAAAGTGTGTGAGCTTTCTTGTTTTGTTTTGGTGATCCGTCACATCTTTGGGATAGACAGGTATCAGTCCTTCCGATGTAGCCGTATTATGTGATATACTCAAAAGGTCCCCAGCCTCTGCCTGGCTGTCAGAAGGACTTGGTCTCGGAGCAGTGGTGCTAAACTGGTGTCCCTGGACCAGCAGCGGCAGCATCACCTGGGAAATGGGTAGAAGCACAAGCCCTCCAGGTGTTTCTGATGGCGGTTCTGGTTTGAGAGGCATTGGATCCCACCTTCCCTCCGCACACCACGAGGGTTTCCTTAATAGTGGCTTTTGAAAAGCCCTGAGGATTAAGGATATAGGTTCCCGGTGACCTGGAAAATCTTGAAAGGCGTTGTAAATCTTGAAGGAGGATGGTGACTGTTCAGAAGCCACTCATGACTGAAAATATAATGGACTGGAAGTACAGAAGAGCGAAAGCTAAGTGGTAACTGAAATGTTCTCCAGTTCAAGGAGAGCTTTCATTTGGATGGTAGGCATTATAGGAGCTCCAAATCCCTGGGGGACTGAGGACAATGAGGAGGGCTGAAATTACAGCTAGAGAGCAGTAATTCTTTTGGAGTACAGGTTAAGTCATAGAACAGGTTTTGGACATGCATCATTTAATTTAAATTCAGGCTTTTCTGATAGACACTCTTCGGAGGCTGCAGAAGGGCATGGCAAGGTTTCTTTCATCAAGGAGCTTAAAAGCTTTTCCAAGCCTTTAAGACTTAAATAAATCCAGGGAATATAAAAAGACAATATAACAGAGTGCTGAATTGAAAAGGACCTCGGGTTAAAATGCGCGATGGAGGCTGTAAGTGCTGTGGGCAGTCAGGGGAAGGAGAAATTGGCACTGTGTCATTTTCTCCTCTGGACAGAGGATGAAACTGTCAGCCTCTGGTTGTATTTCCCAGGCCTGGGGGTGGGATATTGGACAACTTGGCTTCAAGAAGTCTCTTTTCTTGCTCTCTCTTTTCTTTCTCAGTTTTCTGGTTTGTCAGAACTATTAAGTCAAAATGAGGGTTTGTATTTTAAGACTGGACCTGGACTATTATTAATATTTTTGGTTTTATGAGAAACTTGTAGGAGAAACGACATTTTATCCTGGGTGTCTTAAATGGAAAGAGACTCAGATGAAATTTTGGCTTATTCATTTCAGATTTTCAGACTTACTCCATTCACGGGGAGAACATGAATGATGAGCTTGTCTGAGGAAGGCTGTGTTTCATAGGATGAGGAGAGCAAATTACTGATTTTCCTTAGTAGAGGAATTAAATTGTACCAGATGTGGGATATAGGAAACAAAAAAACACTTCAGAGGAACACAACATTTCTATTGCCTTTTATTTCTTTTCATTGCACTACCCATGTGAATTAAGTACCAAGACAGAAAGTTATCAAGACATACTTTTTAAAAATAATTCTTACTTCAATTACAGTTCACATACAATATTATAGAATTAGGTAGGTGGGCATAAATGTCATTTCAGTCTGTGAGAGAAATAAAAAAAGATCTGATAGTCCAGAGGAAGCCAGCAGATTTGAAACCTAATGCAAAGTACTAAAAAAATTTTTTTTCTGACATTTACATGTAATGTGGTCTGTTTTTAGCTCTTTTGGGAGGGTTTTCTTAACTCCAGCTGTAGCCTGCAGGTGTTAACAGAGAGCTGCTTTTTCTTCTGATGATTAGGTGACTTCAGATGCATTAGGAAGCCAGAGCTGGACTTTGCCATTCATCAGGTTCAATACCTGCGCCCAGTGGGTTTGCTCTAGCAGCGATCACGAAGATGTCATTGCTCAGGTGGCCCTGGCAGTCAGAAAGAAGAATCAGCTTTTATTTCAAGAGAATAAGAACAGTTCTGTTGCTTATTTCTTTTCTCTCAAATTGAAATATAATTGCCATATAACATATTAGTTTCTGGTATACAACAGTGATTTGATAACATCTATAGATTGCGTAGTGATCACTGCAGTAACTCCAGTTAATAACCTAAGTCTGTTGCGCGTTCCTTGATTTTGACCACGGAGACCCGTTGAAATGTCCCGGAGGAAAATGGAGGTGAAATAGAGTTCGTCGTGCGTCTCTGGGTCACACAGGATGAGGTGGAGGCTGCTTCCTCCCGCTGGAAACTCAGTGCCTGGCTGACTTCTACTCATCTTTACTCCTCTGCTTAAGTGTTACTTTAGTGAGAAAAGCCTTCTGAGCCCTTCCTGCTAAATGGGTTCCCCGTTATGATCGCAAATCATGGTGCTTATTTTTTCTCTGTAATACCCATCCAGTGCTCCCATTTTATACATATACTAGAGAGAGTATACTACGATTCTTTAATGTCTGTCCCTCTTGAGGTGGTGAGAAAGGCATGGCTCTTTCCTGTTTTGTTTGCCACTGTAAACACAGAACCATGTGGATATACTGAGCACCAAGGGAAAATTTGGCAAGTGATTGAATTAATTAATAAAAAAGCACTTTGTAAACTCTATTCACTATAAAAACCGTGGTTAATCCTATCAGTAGCAGACACCTCCTTTTTCTCTTCTGTCCTCTTATTTTTAATTCTTTAGTCTGAAGTAGGTTTGTCAGTGCTTTACCAATTCCAAATCTAAGGTTTGACATGATTCGTTGTTACCTTTTTGAGATAAGGGACCACTTTTTCTCTAAAAACTGCTGCACCCGCAGTGTTAATGCTGTGATTCCCACCCCGGTTCAGCATGTGCTAATGACTTCCAGGGGCCCTCGGGGGTGATTTACTTGGGAGGCAAACGGGACCCAGGGCAGCACCGAAGCTCTGCGTCCTGTCTCCCCCACAGCCGCTCGCGTTTGTTCCTCTGCCTCAGCTGTGCTCCTCAGGAATTCCCAGTCAGTCCAAGTCGTATTGGCCCAGGAGAAGCTGTTTCTGGCTCTGTCTTCAAGGAGGGGAAAAATTAAAAATTCAGGCGTGGAAAATATTAATGATTGGAATATGAATTGGTCTTTTCTTTAAAAGCAACCAACAAAAATCATCCAGTCCTTCTTCGGCAGGTCCTTGGCGCGCCACTCGTGTGTGTAAGTGTTATCCTCGGTGGGCGGCAACGGCAGGCAGCCAGGTGGAACGTTTCTCAGTCCCGTGAACCTCCAGGGCACCGAACACGCCATTGGAGGGTGCCGTGTGGCCTGCGCCGAGCCATGATGTGCCTGCACAGGCCTCTCTCACCACCTTCCTCTCCTTCCTCTTTCCTTCCTGCACCAGGCCCTCAATGTCTTTCTTCCTGAGATTTCAGACGCCTTGTTTCCTGGCCCCTGCTTCTCTCAAGCCCTCCCCAGAGGGAGGAATCTTAGCACGGTGGCCCTTGCAAATGCATAGACAGACATCGGATGTCCCAGGGTCAGTGGATTGTTGGTGGCTAGCCAAGGCTGGCTTTTATATTCTGCCTCAGAGCTCAGTGGCAGGCTTATTATCACTAATAATCATACTTTGCATTTACATAGTGCCTTTCTTGTCAGGGACTGAGTGCTTTGCCAGAGTGATCTTATTGATCCTCCCAACAACCCAGTGAGGTGTGACCATGGGAAGAGGTCCCAGCTCCCTCCTTTTTGAAGAGAGTAAAACCAAGTGGCTTACTTTGAGGCTGTGTCACAAATTTGCATCTCAGCTGGGGTGCATATGAAGTCTCCCAGAATTGGCTTCCCCTTCACCGGGGGACAGGGAGGAATGGGAAAAGGCTGGTATGCCATGCTGCTGTGTCTCCTGGGGCAAGAGCAAAGCCATTGAATTTCTTTTTTGCAAAATGGTCCTGGAAAATAGTCTTTGGTGAATGATCAATTGGTTTAATTGATTGTGAACTTCCTTTGTGTTAAGATAACGAGATATTTGATGATGCATTTACCTTTTTCTTTCTCTTCTGTTCCATGCTAGGTTTTTCTCACTTCTCTGTGAAAGGAGGAAAGAACACGCCGCCGAGCCCAGGAGCACTGCAGCTTCTTGTGGGAAGTGCCCATGGTGAAGGAAGGCTGGGGCACCCGGTGAACAGCGCACAGTGAATGTTGTAAGTTAGCAAGAGCATCTGTGGCGGCTTGCCTTGCATGGAGTTGTGAATCACTGCACGCCACCGAGCCGGGGTGGCGAGGGGGCGTTCGTGTTAGCGCTAGGTGATCGTTCAGTTCATTTCTTTTTTAGGGGAGAGGTTCTGTTTATTTGCTGCGAACTTGCCTTTCTCTCAGCTTCCATGGGGCATTTCTCATTTTCTCCTTCTGGAATAAAAGAATGGACTACAGGGATTCTTTCATTACAGGAATGCCCTTCTTCCTAGTACAAATAGTATCAAGTTTACAGCATCCTCGCAATTCTTTCGGGTTGATGGGTAGGGGAGGTCACAGTCTCCAGGCTAAGACTTAGCAACCAGGGTTACCACCAGCAGTTATTTTTACTAATGGAAAGTTTTTTATTGGAATGGATTTTTCTGGCTTTCAAAAACCTGAGATATACAAGTATAGTCAGTTGTTTTGGGTGCTTCTCATATTCAAAATTGGCTGACTTACGGGTTTGTATGAGGCTGCTGGGTTGGGATTTTGAGATTGGTCAGGCAGTTCCTGTGGGTCAGCGGCGGGTCGCCTTTCACGAAGCCTTTTAGGACCAAGCCGGTGAGGAGACAGCACATGATTGGCGTCGAAGGGCGTATCTGCCACGGATGGCACCTAGGGGTTTGACCAGCTCTGCCTTCTGGAGATTTTACCTCATTGCCAGACTGTGTCGCCAAAACAGGTTTAGGAGAGTTTGGCCAGGAAAGAATATTGCTACAGGAAACCCATAATGGCCTAGGAACCTGTTCCCTTCAAATTTTAGAACTGAAGAGCCAACTTTGACTAGGGTATACATACACATACACGCGAACATATACACACTTAGTGTATAGATATACTTAAGTATATATACACGCACTTAATAAATATTATATATTTGTGTGTATGTATTATATATACATAAGTGTATATATTTGTATATGTACACACGTATATATATGTATGTGTGTATATATAAATAACTATATATTAAGTTTTTAGCTTCTTAATAACTCAGTCAGGAACCTTTTCCAGGTATTTATTACCTATTTTTTTCCAGTTTCATAAGAGATTTTGAAAAGCAAGCTGCAGTAATTTGAGGGTATATATCAGGGAGAAAAAGCATCAACATTGAAAAGAAAAATTTCCACCAAATTTTTTTAATTTCATGGTTTTCTAAATACTTTTATTAATGCATGCATATATATCCATATAGATGCGTTAAGTACTCATATTAACTACCTTTATTAAATTCAAAATCTCCTAGTACATCCAAGTGAAGGGACTGTGAGAGGTGCTGGTGCTTTACTGTGTTGCTGTTTGTATGTATGAGTACATTGGTTCTGGTGGAAAGTCCACAGCACCCGAATCCATCACCCTGGATTCTATTGCTGGTCCTCTTGTCAAGTTTGCAGCCTTGGGCAAGTCACTGGTCCCCATGCAGTGTTATTTTGTGAGTCTCTGGATTGCTTGCTGCTACTTGCTTAGTGATCCGCTGACATCTTGGTTTGGGCTCTCCATAAAGGGCAGAGCGTTGTGTAAGGCTCGTTAATACTTAATAAAAAGGATCTCTTATTCTGAAAGTTTCTACCACTGTTACGGAATAATTTCGGGCTCTATTTGGATTTCAGTGCTCTAGTAGTAGTGTGTTTTACCAGAAATTATTTTCTCAATCAGGTAGCTGTAAGGCTGTCCCTCTGACGATGTTCTTTAAACCATTTTCATCCTAGGACACACGTGTCTATGGAAGAGTGGTTTGGATTTCGTGTTACATGTAAGTGGGTACCACAGCCACTGTACTGCCATCAAGACAGCTTTTGTTTTGAACCTTGTGGGTTTTTATTTTTTTAGCCATTGGTTTGAACTGCTCATGTGATACCATATCGAGCCCTAAATATTAAGTGAGGTTTTCAAAGAAGTTCTGAATGTAAACTTTAAGATACCACATGGCCAACTTAAAGTCATTTAAAAATCCTTCTATAAACGGGGTAGTTTGAGAGAGAGGAAGAAAATTCTAAATTCTAACCTACTGCTTTCGAACTAAGAACTTTATCTTCCAAATTGCATTTACTTGGACAGTGGCGAGGGCAGGGGATGTCCCAGTCTTCTCAGTAAATTTTAAAATTAGTAACTTTTAAAAGTCTCGATGCATTCGTACAAGTCTGAGTTTATACTTCCCCTTTACTTGGGTGGCCCAAGTCCTTTGCCACTACAGTAGGAAGGCAGGAGATTTTCAGAGAATGTGTTTTTGCACATAGATGGGGTGGGGTGGTGGGCATGTGACTAGTAATCATGGCAGCCATTGAATTCGTGGTGTTGGCCCCCAGCAGCCTTTGCACACTGCACCCAAACTCGTTACCTCTATGGCACTCCTCTCCTTGCCCCTGTGAACGACTTCTCAGACCTGCCACCATCTTTCTAACAGGTGGACTTTGCTCCTCAGAGTGTCTCAGTCTGGCTTGAAGATGTGGTATCTTGTACTCGAAAGGAGACTGAGTTTTCACACTTAACAGGTTAAGCGGAGCCTCCCAAGGCCCCTCGGGCCTATTTTATGTTGAGTCACAGGAGAGAGTTGAGTTAGAACTGAGTTCTGGTGATCCTTCTGACTCCAGGTGGCTCACGTAGCATAAAGTATCCATCTCGGATGAGGCAGAGTAGACCTTCAGGTGCCCTTGTTTGGCTTCTAAAAGTCTATGATTTGACACAACTTTAATTTACAGCTGTTTTTTAAATGCTGAGCACAGTATTAAGGTTTAAAAAAAAGCGTTATTTTTTTCTGTCGCTGTCATGATATTCCTTCCCCAGGCACCATGTGACAGTACAAAGGTGTTGATTCGGGGGCTACAAATACCATTTTAGTCATTTATATTTAGGATCCACACCCAATGGTCTTTTTGAAAATGAAGTGTGAGCCACTTTTGAAATTAACTTTTTAAAAAGTATCTACCTTCATACTCAAATATTGCCTCGTATATAAGCAAGGAGGTGGTGGGGTCTGTCCTTCTTTCCTAAGCCCTCTGCCTCCTTAAACAGGACTTCTCAAGTTACGCTTTCAGAGTGGCCTTCCCTGACCTGGGTGAAATAGCACCCACCCCAACCCTCTCTGTCATCTAGCTTACTTTATTTTATTTTTTAATCATCCATCTCCTTAACTAGACTGTAAGTTTCGTGAAAGCAAGGCTTATTATTTCTTTTCCGGTGCATCTACAAGACCTAACATGCTGACTGAGCACTGAGTAAATACCTGAGTATGTGCCTGGGCTTCTGTGTGTGGGCCCAGCTGTCAGTAAAAAAAACCAAAACGTGAAGTTCTGATGAGCATTGGTTGGGGGCTGGCCTAGAGGGACTAGGCTCTTTTCTTTAATTCTTAGAAGTAGATGCTGAATGTTGATACGTTTAAATAAATGTGGGAAAGGAAACTATTTGCTTTAAAAAAGGCTTTATAGAACTATCAATAGAGTTTGGGGATTTTCTTATGTATGTTTTTTTTTATTCTGTACTTCGTGTGTTTCCTCTGCTTTTCCATTTGAGTGGTTTGCTTTATAGCTTTGCCGTGAGCAGCCTGCCCGGTGTTCTGGGGAAGGCGGTGGTTTTGCTGGTTTTGCCTCTTCTAATCACATCACTTTATAGCCACGTAGGTTACAGTTATTCCCCAACTGGGAAACAGGCTCGAGTGTGCTGAACCTGCCTTGAAACTTGGCCTTTGCTGCGTAGCATCATGTTCATTTTGTTTCCTTTTGGGTGACATGCAGCTGGGAATGAAGTGGTCTGCCCACACCACTTAAGTTCATCTCGAGCCGGTGTGGTGGAGAAGGGGAGGGTCACAGAAGTCAGGGAGGCGTCATTCCACATGGCTCGTGCAGATCACAGCGATAACGGCTTCTTGAATTTTGTTGACTTATCGGCCCCCTTTTCAGAAGAACCGTTCTGAGCACCAGAGGCACATACTCCTGGGAGGCAATGGGAAGACTAAAATAAACACCTCTGTGCCTGTTTGCACAGTATTATGCTGTCTTCATAAGCTTAGAAAAATGGAAGCTGATTTCTAGTCTCCAGAGTAAGGGAATTACACATACACCCTCTAATATGAGTGGTTTGGGAATTTCTGTCATGTCTGTCAATTTGTACCTTTTAGATTTGCCACCTGTAATACCGAATTCTCAAGCATTATCATCTAAAAAAAACTGAGATAGAGAAGGGGGTTAGGAGGGAAGGGGACACCTTACTGTTAGATAAGTGAGGAAAAGTAGTCTCATTTTTCTCGCCGCCCCTCCTTATAACGGGCTTGAAATCGGCCTGCATATCGTAAAGGCTCTGACTGAGCACATTGCACACTAGTGTAGCCTGAAGTTCTCTAGGATTTTCTCTTTTACCCATTGTTTTCTATTCCCTAGACGTTTTCCAATTGCTTCTCATTGACAGTCTCATTAATTCCTGGCCGTTGCCCCTTTGGTGGGGCCTTTGCATGGGCTGCTGCTTTTGAGAATTAGTGTCAGAATGACTTCCTGAGTCCGTTGGCAAAGTCTAGCACATCCCAGACACACCCTTTCCCCTCAGGGTCCTCATCCCTAAATGCTCAGCCTCCTCCTCGCAGCATCTAGGGCGGGCAGAGGAAACACACTGAATGCCCGAGAGTCGAGGAAGGGAGGATGCCCAGGCATTCTCTGCACTGCTGGTGCTCTGTGGGGGAAGAACGCAGCAACAGCCTGCTCAGACTGCTTTCTAACTGAATAGTGCTGAGGTAGGTTTTGTGTTCTACTTCAGTGTAGAATTCATTTAAAAAATACTGTTTATTAAAGGAGAGTGTGTGTTAAGGAAGCGGGCTGAGGACACAGTGATGGGTGATCTGTACTGGCCGTCCTCTGAGATGCCACTCTCACAGACCACCATGGGAGGTCGTGAGTCAGGCGCCCTGTACGGGATGGTGGACACGCGTCCTCGGGGTGGCAGCTGCATTCGGCCTGGACGCAGAGGTGGTATTTCAACG